ATAAAAATATGTAGTGAAATTTATGAATGCGTCTATCATCTTGTGAAATGCATCTGAGACATGATGAGAGAAGAGTCAGTATGACTTTACAGACTGCTGTGCTCTTGTAATACAGACATGGGACAAGAAGCGTGTGAGGGCAGGAGACCCCATTCTGTTCTCTTCTTGCCTATGTGTGTTAGAAGAGATTCCACTGAAGTTATTGCAATTCCCTGCCTGTGGAGCGACATAAGTAAAGTAGAACTCAGTTCGAGTTAGTGTTCTTGTTAGCTGGATTGCAACATCTGGAGTCAGTTTTCTATGAAGTACAAATTTTAGTGCAGGATTTCTAATGGTAGAAGGACTGTAGGATTGTTTGCTTACGGCATCCTATAGCTGAATGTATTTATACCTGAAATGTTACCATCCAGAAGGAAATGGGTCCTTTCATGAAGCAAAGAGAGGAATAGTACCAAAGCCTTTGAATGTTAAAGCCACATCTCTCTTGCTGATCATGAAAGAAGGCAGGAGGAATTAAAAAACAAGACGAAGTATGAGATTAAGTAAATTCTAAATTATTACTTACATGATCTGAAGCTATCAAAACCTATTCTGCACTTAATTAACTGTCTGATAGGTAGGGAGAATTTAGCATCCCTTCCCATTGTTAAGTTAGCCTCTTGATAGCCAGCTCCTTACAGGCTAATCCTGTGTCATGCTTTATCCAATGTCTTGTCCTGAACATGTGAAAAAATGTTAAAGACTGTGTATTTTGAAGTTGCTGAACATGAGACAAGAATTTTAGCAAGTTATCTCAAAATAAAATGTATCTCTTGTTTTTCCATAATTATAAGCATTAAATGACTGAATGGTGTAAGATTCTGTTAAAGTCAGGAAATGAGATGCTGTAGTGAAAAGTAGCTTAAAAAGAAAGTGCGACTGTTAATCACAGAGACATGAAGAAACTCTGTCCTTTCTGAAGGTCATGGAAAAGAATGTCTGAATAAAAGTCATTCAGAATAATCAGCTGTTCAAAATACTGGACAGCTGATTACTCTGAATGAAAAAGCCAAGTATAAATGAGATTTGAAGACTAACAGAGTTCCTTGGGAAAAAGCAGTAAGTTTGCAATTCTAAGAAGTTCTTTCAAATTGCAAAGTAGGTGAAAAGAAAGCCTATTTGGGAGGCTGTCTTTGAGGAACATATTTTAACCTTTATGTAGTTGGTAGTGATTTGAAAAATCATAATGAATGCTGTTGACTCACCGTTCAGAGTTAAAAGGAGTAAGTCAGAGATACTAGGATCTTTATTTGATTTTTTAAATCATTGTTTTTAGAAAAACAACAGTGCATAAATTGCATAAATATCTATTTTCAAATGTTTGACTCTACTTCTGAAATAAATTTCCTTGGCTTTGCAGAGGTTTCCTCTCCAGTGCTGAAGTAGGGAGGAACAGAGTCAACTTAGAGTGATGTCAGTACTTCAGTATTACATTCACCTCCCTCAGATCCACGAAGACTTAGGCTGTGGGTACAGTTTCATATGATGCTTTGTTTAGTATCTGGCTGTCATCCAAAAGAGAAAGTTCCTTTGGGGAAATCTCTGTCATGTCAGAACCTAATCCTTTCTTGCAGCAGTTTGTTTTCTCTTGGATCAATGAAGTGATGTAGCTCACTGGCGATGCTACAATTCTTACATGTGAGGAAAGAGGGCAGGAACTTGTAGTGAGGAACAGAAGAGCTCAGGACCTCTCCATATCTTCCTGACAACTACTTGTCTTTAGAACAGAGCAAACCTAGTGTGAAAACTCACCATTAAATATAAGTACCAACATTTTCATTTAAGTAAAAGGAAATGCTGGAGAGAACCCTCTGGTCTGCTCTTGCAAGAAAAAAAAGGGGTATAGCCAGCAAATGCAGAGCCCTAATTCCACCTTTTCATACAAACACCGCCCCCCCAACAGGTTCTATTTTAATTTGTAGAAATTAGTTTGCTGCATAATTCTGTGGCTCTGCCCAGCAAGCCAAAGAAAAAAGTCATCATTCTAGTCTCTGTGAACGTCTTTTTTTTTCATACCTGCAGTTATGTAGGATATATGGAAGATTAAGTACTGAAAAGTACCTTCTAATAAAGTACTTCGATGATCAAGAGACTGCAGTGATTGCTGGCAATTAAAGGGGAAACTACTTTTCTAACCCGGCCCTTAATGCTTTTATAGTAGCAAAACCAGTTCTATAGCTAAGTCCATTTCTACACAGCATCAAGTTAGTTCAGATTTAATTGTATTTGTTTCCTCAGCTCAGATTTTACTGGAGGCTTTTTTTTGGTGCGGGTGTCTTTACTCAAATACATTAAAGTGGTTGAGTTTTGTTAAAAAAGTATTTTAACTATTCTTCTGTCCTTTTTAAGCCTTCAGGTCTTTCCTTCCTCTTTCTGTTTTCCCCATGACATTCAATATCTCTGCTAAACCAGTGTAGTGACTTAGGTAAACTCTCTCTGATTAAACATGTGAGAAAGCATATGTTTGAAGTTCAGGGTTCTCTGTCATGCCAACTGTTGGCTTTATGTCTGGAAATTCTGGTTTTTTACATTAATCAAAAGGTATATCGTACTTTTCCCAGCATATACTGATGTGAATACATCAGGCAATGTTGCAAATAGCTGTTAGATTATCAGCCCTTGTGGAAAAAAAAGGAATGTGGTTTAATTAAGCAGAAATTTATTATCTTACCTGGCAACGACCCAGCAGCAAGCATTATATGTCAAAATGCATTTAATTTGTTGCACCCAGCCTAATGCTGGGAACTCATGATCAAGATTAAAGAAGACTGAGAAAAGATCTTACTTCATCTTTACTTCCTCCATGATTTTGTGAAAGATATTTCCAGGTGATTCATTTTTTACAGCTCCTCTTACAGAATGAATGATGAAGTGAAAAATGAGACATGAGATTGAATACAGAGATCCTGGTGATGCACTGTGGAAACCTGTAACATTTTTAAAACAATGGTAAGGGTACAAACAGGTTCATTCCCTTTGTGTTCCACTCATGTTTCAAATATGAGAAAACCAAAACACCTTAAGATGTGAGACACGGACTCTTTGCCTTTTCTGCTGTTCAGGGTTATAAGAAAAGTATTCCTATGCTCTGCTGAAAACCCTAAATATGTTGATGGTTGTTTTCCACTTTTTCCTCTGGGAAAAGGAAGCTTGCAAGGGTTTCTTTTGTAATTCTTGTCTGGTGATTGCTGCACAGGTAACTAATGTGACATAACCCCTTTCATAAATTTGATCCAATTCCTTTTAAAGTACAGTGCAAAAGTTTGCTCCAGGATCTCAAATGACAAAAAAACCCTCAAAACACAAAACCCAACCAAACAAAAATCCCCACTGCAAAACTAAACCAAACCAAAAACCAACCAACGAAACAAAACAAAAAAAAAGACCGCAAACAAACCAAACCCACAAAAGGTAGAAAACCTTAACACACCCTGCCCCTCCCCTCCCCATCCTTAGGGCTTTTAATATCTCTTTAATGAAAAATATTGTGTTCATGCACTTAGAGATCAAAGTTGATTTGCCACTTTAAATTTGATTCTGACAGGAAGTGAAGATATTAATTTCACGGTAAATGTTGCCTGGGCAATTTGAACCTAACTGAATTGTGGAATATAATCATGAATTTAACCTGTTGTTTAGGCTAGAAACTGGTGAACTACTTACCAAATCATTGGAGTGAAACAACTTGAGTCAAGTTCTTGCTAAGCAAGGAAGGAATGAAGGCTGGGAAAGGGGCTGCTCAAATTTTGCTGCCTGGATTTGCCACCCAGTGTCAGCTATTGTAACTGCTCTCTGTGAGAGGGTATTAATAATTTAGTATTTTATTGTTCTGACAGTAACAAAAGTTATGTCTCAAACACTCTCTTTCACTATGAGGTAGACTGTTCTTATTCAAAGTCTGATTCTTCCCTCGATGGGCTTTATTTGCCAGAGTGGATGTGGCACTTAGTGCCATGGTCTAGTAACCATGGTGGTGTTGGATCAAGGATTGGACTTGATGATCTCGTAGGTCTTTTCCAACTCAGTTGATTCTATGATTCTTCCCTTCTTCATAGATAGCTACACTCTCAGCAGTGTGGAGAGTAGTCTGGTGGCACCTGGCTGTCTTACATACAGCTTTTGTGAAGGAAGAAAGGGCAGCCCCTGTCTGTCTTTGAGAAGGAATGAAGCTTAGGAGAAATCAGGGTGAGGGAGGGAGAGTTGCAGTACATTCACAACTGCTTGTCCATTTTGAAAGGAGGTACTCCAGCTTGGTAGTATACTCACACATTGACTCCGTGAAGCATTTCCAAGGAGCCCTAATTTAGGCTTCAACTTCTTCCCATAGAAAATACCAAAAATTTGGTAAGACATCCCCATTTCCACAAGTCTTGCTTTCCAGAAGTGCTTTGAGATACGTTATTCTTTTGAGCAACTCTGAATTGGGAATTGAAGCTATGGAACCCTAGGGAATAATGCCTGAAGGGAAGTTAAAGGTGAGACTGGAAACTAGGCTGGTTTCAGAGATATAAGAACAGAAGATCAAAAATTAGTTTCTTCTCTGTGGTGCAGCAGTTTCTACATGTCCTTACAGACCCAATTAAAATAACATTTGATTAAAATGAATACAACAAAGCACAGTTTTAAGTGGTACTAAGTCTCTGGATAAATTGAAAAACCACCAAAATTTAATTATATATTAAAGATTAAAGAGTACTGTCGGGTCTTAGTTATATTACAGTTTCTCTGGTGTATAAGCAGTAAGGCAATTTAATGTAAAATTAAAAATCCTTGGACAACAGCATCTCTCTCAATTCAAATTAGTATGTCTGAGAAAATAATTTTGGCCTTCAATGTTGATTTATAGCATTTTTTGATTCTTTATGTGTGGAAATCCAGAACAGTGTTGTGCTAATATGGCTGTATCACCTGCAGGTGTTGCTTCAGAGTCAAGTGAGCAGTTCTTTGTATTTTCTTTGAAGGATCAATATTTCAAGATGCGCGAAGCGGAAGGGTCTGACTGACAAGCTGCCTTGATACACTGTTATTCTAACTATGACTGGATTGACTGAAAATAGCCTCAAAGAGTAAGATAATTTATAAAACCTGTAAAGCATAGCCAAGTGTTTGAAGTAATCGAAGCTAATTAGGAATTATTTATTTTCACTTTTTAAATGTCTTGCCTTTGCTGTTATAGTTTTTTGAAGTTTTGCTTCTGAAATGTCCATATTTTATACTGCATTTACATGAAAAAAATACATTAGGTGTTACAACTATGCAAAAAATTAGAACTGGTAAAATTTAATGAAAAAATTTCTAATAATTGTGCTGTGAGAAATTACTGTTAGTGTACCCATGTTTTTGGAGAGAAATTTGGTTTTCATTTTTTGTGTATGTCTAAAAATTTGGTAAATAACCTGGTTAAAAAAGAGAAGGTAATTTGGAAAGAAAATGGATGCATAATTATAAAGCAGTGACTTTTCTTGAGAATAAAAATTCAATTTAGTGCTGCCTTGTTTCTGTGCCTAGACATATTATCATAAAAAGCAAATGTTTCTTTGGATGCTTCATTGTGTGATATAAGTATTATATATGTATATATGTAAATGAGCTATTTTTATTTTTGAATCATTAGATGTGGTCATTCTCTAGTGTGGATAAAGTAGTAGGCTTATCAGTCTGCTAGTACCACTTTACAGTCTGGTTTACAAGATGTGTGCTGAAGTGCTTTTTCAGTACTCTGAGTAGAATTTCAGAAAAATTCTTTTTGTAGTTATTTTGGGATTTTGTATTGTGTTTTCCTCTTCCAATGCTATTTTTTCCTTTACCTTGAAGAATCTTTCTTTAATTCAATTTTTAGTATTAATTTTGTGGGAGGATATGATATATGCTTAGAATAGTATTCATATAATGAGAAAACAGACTACTTGAGAGAGTACTTTGAATGGAAAAAAGTTTTTCCTCATCCATTGGTGTGTCTTAGCAAGAACAGTATTTTTTTCTGTTTAAATTAAGCTCAGTGAAGTTCTGCAATGTGTGACATTTGGATTTGAGATTTTGATATAAAGAACAAATTAGTCTTAAAAAGTCAAAGAAAACAATAGTGAACATGGCAGTGTGAAAGAAATTTCTTTTGTCTCCTAGGTGGTAATGTGAATGTGAAATTCAAATGATTCTGTGAACAATGTAAATTTTTACATCAAAGTGTAATGTTTACTTACATAATAGATATGAAGTCCTGGGTAAGATTTTTTTGTTTCATTAATGAATAGCATATCCATGCAAAAAAAAAAGCAGGGAAAGCTATTTCCCAGTTAGGGAACAAACTGGATTAACTTCTTGATGAATAAATGAGCTTTTTTTACCCTAAAGGTTTGAATTAGTGATTTGTATAAAAAAGCTCACTTAGGCTCTAGTTATTTGCTTTGTTCTATACCGCTTGCTTAAATTGCACCTGAAATAGTTATTTCAGTGGTGTAAGTGCCTTCTCTGATACTTTTAAACAGAAAATTGAAAATATTCTTAACATACAAGATGTATTTAAAATGAAAGGGCAATAGCATGGAAATGTAGGTTAGCACAGCTCATTTAGGTTTCAGTTTGATAATGATGTTTTAAACTCTGCTAGAAGTGCAAGATTTATTGTGAGAATTAAGCTGCAGGGTTTTATTTTTGATACATTAAAATAAAAAATACAGTCAATTAAAAAAATTAATCCTTTAACATCATAATAGCAGAGAAATTTTTCACATTTACATAAATGTGAAATACATAAAAATAAGCCCTTCTTTTATATTTTTGAATCAATTCTCTTTTTTTGGTCCTTGATAGTCCAGATGCAAGGAAATGGCTGGGGAACAGAGATTTAATGGAATCAGCTGCAGTAAAGTTTATAGAATAAATTTTAATCAAACCAAGTTCAGATGAAGCCAGTGGCAGATTTGGTTGAATAACACCAGCAAAATGAAGGATAAATCCTAGGAAGATGAATTTTAGTACATTATATTTGTTATTTGAAGTTGTCCCACTAAAATAACATAACAACATTGGGTCTGTCCTTTTGTACAGATGCAGTTTAATGCTCAATGGCAGTAGAACTGACTAAAATCACATAGTTTGTTATAAATGAGAAGAAAAATATAGTAGTAAAAGGAATGAACACAGTAGTTGTGGATAACAGTAGACTCCAGGTGGAGAATGTGCAATGCTGGTTCATCCAACAGGTGCAATGCTGGTTCATCCAAAATGTCATCTATGCTTCCAAAGGTTTTATCCAAGGCACTTTTCCTTCTCTAAACTAAAAATGTTCCATTTTATAAAAATTGTAGAGCTGTAGAATGGATTAGGTTGGAAAAGACGTCTAAGATCGTTGCAGTCCAGCTGTTAACCCAGCGCTGCCAAGTCCAATACTAAACCATGTCCCAAAATGCCACATCCATATGCCTTTTAAATATCTTCAGGAATGGTGACTCAGCCACTTCCTTGGGCAGTCTGTTCCAGTGCTTCACTACCCCTTCAGTGAATACATTTTTTCTAATATTCAATGTAAGCCTCCCCTGGCACATCATGAGGCCATTTCCTCTTGTCCTGTCACTTGTTACTTGGGAGAAGAGAACAACTCCCACCTTGCTACCACCTCCTGTCAGGTAGTTGTAGAGAGTGATAAGGTCTCCTCTGAGCCTCCTGAGCTCCAGGCTAATCACCCTTAGCTCCCTCAGTTGCTCCTCATAAGACTTGAGCTCCAGGCCCTTTACCAGCTCCATTGCCCTTCTCTGGACTCACTTTAGCATGTCAATGTCGTTCTTGTCCTGAGGGGACCAAAACTGAACACAGGATTTGAGGTGTAGCCTCACTAGTACAGGGACTTCCCTAGTCAACCAGCACCTCCAGGTCTTTTTCCACTGGGCAACTTTCCAGCCACTCTGCCCCAAGCCTGTAGTTCTGCGTGGGGTCAGTGTGACCCAAGTGCAGGACTCAGCACTTTGCCTTGTTGAGCCTTGTGCAATTGTCCTAATCAGCCTACTGATCCAGCCTGTCCAGATCCCTCTGCAGACCCTTCCTACCCTCCAGCAGATCAACACTCCCACCCAGCTTGGTGTTGTCTGTGAACTGACTGAGGGTGCACTTGATACTCTCATCCAGATCATTGATAATGAACAGGAAAAGCCCCAAGATTGAGCCCTGGGAAACACCACTGGTGACCAGCTGCCAACTGAATGTAGCACCATTCACCACTACTCTCAGCGGCTGGCCATCCAGCCTGTTTTTTACCCAGTGAAAAATATGCCCATCTAAGCCATGGGAAGACAGCTCCTTCAGAATAATGCTGTGGGAAACAGTGCCAAAGGCTTTATCAAGGTCCAGGTAGACAATATCCACAGCCTTTCCCTCATCCACTTAGCAGGTGATAGAAGGAGCTCAAGTTAGTCAAGAAGGACTGGCCTTTCCTAAACCCATACTGGCTGGGCCTCATCCCCTGGTTGTCCTGTACATGCCATGTGATGGCACTCAAGAGGTCAGGCTGACCTGTAGTTCTCCAGATCCTCTTTCTGGCCCTTCTTGTAGATGGACATCACAAATCCTAACCTGCAGTCAACTGAGACCTGCAGTCAACTAGGATCTGAGTTAGCCAGGACTGCTGATAAATGATGGAAAGTGGCTCGGTGAGCACTTCCACCAGCTCCCTCAGATCCTTGGGTGGATCTCCTCTGACCCCATAGACTTGTGTGTGTCTAAGTGGTGGAACAAGTCTCTGACCATTTCCTCTTGGGGTATGGGGACTTCATTCTGCTCCTGACCTCTGTCTCCCAGCTCAGGGGGGCTGAGTACCTGGACAACATCTGGTCTTACTATTAAAGACTGAGGCAAAGAAGGCATTAAGTGCCTCAACCTTTTCCTCATCCTTTGTCACTACGTTTCCCCCCCAGCATCCAATAAAGGACTGGGATTCTCCTTGGCTCTCCTTTTGTTTCTGATGTATTTATAGAAACATTTTTTATTGTTTTTTATGACAGTAGCCACATTAAGTTGTCATTGGGCTTTAGCCCTTCTAATTTTCTCTCTGCCAAACCTTGTGTTACCTTTGCAATCCCACCAAGGTGCCTGCCCCATTGCCTTGCGTCCTATTTCTTGGCACCACAAAGACTAGCCTGGCTCGATCCTCTTGACACTGCCTTCAAATACACTGATGATGTCCCCTCTCGGTCATCTCTTCTCAAGGCTGAACAGACCCAACTCTCTCAGTCTTTCCACATAAGAGAGATGCTCCAAGCCCTTAATCATGTTTGTTGCCCTCCACTGGACCTGCTCCAGAAGCTCCGTGTTTCTCCTGTGTTGAGGAGCCCAGAACTAAACACAGCACTCCAGGTGCAGACTCACTAGTGGAGGAGCAATGAAAAAAAACCCAAACAAAGGCAGCAGGGAAAAAAAGAGAACTTGAATGGCAACCTTCCCTGCTTTACTTTATCTACAGAATTGAGGTGTCCAGCTGCAGCAGTCAGGTTTTATGAAGGTGATGAAATTAATTAGCACTTTGTGAGTTGTTATGAAGTATTTTAGAGTGAGGGGGAACTAGAGATACTCATATAAAGAAGTGATAAAGTCAGAAAATGTTAAAATATGCGAGTTCTTTCTGACTGTTGTTAAGGCACCAGTCATCCCTGCACATATGATCCTCAACAGCATTCCTGAGCATAGTGACCTGGCTGTGATATGTAGCACAACACTGGTGATATCTGCAAATTTTTAGGAGTTGTTTCGTTTGCTTAGGTCTCACATAATTCTTTTGGGAACAGTGACAGCATGAATTAGTGTTGTTTAAAACAGGAACCGACCTGATTTGCACAGCTATAATCATTGTGAACATTATCAGCTCTCACTTTAAGAGAGAAAGACAGGAATATTTCTATAGTGTTGAAGTGTTTGTATCTGAGTTCTCAATTCATTTAAGTTTTTAATGGTGGGCAGACACTGCAAGCTAACATGTAATTGTAGCTACTTTAACAGAATTATTTAAAATTAAAAAAGCAAACATGCTTTTACCTGTTAAATAAATGTTGCACATAGGTGGCTAGTCCCCAACCCCCAT